AAAAAAAAAAAAAAATTTGCTGGGTGGTGGCGTGTGCCTGTAGTCCCAGCTACTCAGGAGGCTGAGGCAGGAGAATTGCTTGAACCCGGGAGGCAGAGGTTGCAATAAGCCGAGATTGTGCCACTGCACTCCAGCCTGGCGTCTGGCGACAGACTGGGACTCTGTTAAAAAAAAAAAAAAAAAAAAGAGCATTCGATGAGTGTTGCTGCAGACTATTGTTACAAAGACCACATGTTCACAGAGTGCTGGCTTTTGTTGTATTGTCATTAGTGCTATTTCATAAAATGAATTGATTTTCCTTATCGCCAGTAGAGTTGAGTTACTTTGCTATTTGGCAGAAAAATAACTGTGCGACTATTGACATTCCATGCTATATGAATAAAATCTAAGAACCATAAAACACACCAATCGTTATTTTAGTATTAATAGTTCTGTGATATCATGCTAGAAATTGGGGCTAGGCACAGTGTTCACACCTGTGCTCCAAGCACTTTGGGAGGTTAAGGTAGGAAGATTGCTTGAGGCCAGAAGGTCAAGATCGGCCTGGACAACATAGGGAGATCTTGTCTGTACTTAAAAAAAACAAAGTCAGATGTGGTGGCATGCACTTGTAGTCCTAGCTACTCAGGAGGCTGAGGCAGTAGGATCCCTTCGGCCCAGCAGTTCAAGGCTACAGTAAGCCTGACTGTACCACTGCTGGCCAGCCTGGGTGACACAGCAAAACTCCGACTCAAAAAAAAAAAAAAAAAGAAGAAGAAAGAAAAAGAAAAGAAATTAAATAGTTTGAATTTGTTAAAGATTGTGAATATTAACTTATATACTTATTTTTGTCATTTTAATGATGTTAAAGACCCCATCCAAGTGTTCTTCTAAATATCTTCGATTCCTTGAAGACAATTTTGATCTTTTTTTTAATTTTTGGTCTTAAAGAGCTAAAATTACTTCAAGGAGAAAAAAAAAACCCAAACAACAATAAAACCTCACTTCACCTCCTGCCACACCCCATTCTCGTATATACTCTCCAGAGGCTTCCCTGAATACATCACCTCTGCTTACACTCTTCTTCCCCATTTATTCAGTTAAGTTAGCTTTCTTTATCCTCAAAATGTTATTCAGGTATCACCACTTTTTCAGAGACAATTAACCAATTCCTCTTATAGACTTAGGTCAATATTTTCTGATCATCCTATCAATACAAAGAATGATAATAAACTAGGTGACACTTGAGCATTTATTTTATACAAGAAAAACAAATAACATATTGTATTATTGTTCTCTTCATCATATTAATATGAAAAGTGAGATTTAGAGGCATTAAGTAACTTATGTAAGGTCCTGGAACTATCAAACTAAAGAGTTTAAATTTCAACTTTGTCAGGCTTTGTGTTGCTTGGATTACAATCATTATTTATATCCACGGTTTCCAAAGTATGCATGCAGATATCCTAAGCTGTCCCAACAAACTTAAAGGAGTGCTACAGTAGATTGTTATTCCTTGACGGAAACATAGTCTTACTCTATGACTCTCAGCTCCTGTAGAAACCTCTTGCTTGAGGTAGTTCAGAGGCTCAACATTAGGTTACATTACATTGCTTTCAATGACACCATAAACTGAGTGTTTCATGGTTGCTGAGTTAAAGGACAAATACTAAGCAAAATACCAGTGTGGAAGAGGAAATGAGGGTGGTCATGTCCAATCCGATTCCATGTTTTGACAAGCTGTGTTATGCCTGACAGGCGTGCATACTGCATTGATTAGTAAGTAATTGTGGCCACTTAAGAATGAAATAAAAATAGTATTTTTTCTTTCAATGTATGTGTTAGTTTTTCTGTTCAAATGGCTACTAAGTTGTTAAGGCATAAATATGTATTACCTTGCCTGGACCTGGCCGGGTGTGGTAGCTTAAGCCTGTAATCCCAACACTCTAGGAGGCCAAGGTAGGAGGATCACTTGAACCCAGGAGGTCGAAGCTGCAGTGAGCCATGACTGTGCCACTGCACTTCAGCCTGGGTAGACAGAGTGAGACCCTGTCTCAAAAATAAATAAATAAATAAATAAAGTTTCCTGGACCTAACTAGTTAATAAAGGCAACTTTCAAGTATTTGTTTTAGTCTATGCGTGTTATGAAAAACTTATTAAAACACTAACGACATCATGAATGGAGAAAGTTTGGAAATCTCTGGCTAGATATTTTTCTCATCTACTAAACTGAGATTTTCTTGAATGCAGGATGCAACCAGTTTGGTGGAAGTAGAAATCAGAAACAATCTTTTTCTTCTGGTCTGCCTCTGTTCTGTAAGAGTTAGAAGACTTTTGGCTACAAGAAACAAACAATCTGACACACACTGTCTTGAATACTAAGGAGGGGAAGGAGAGGCATACAATGGGTACTGACCTGTGTAGCATCTCCCCAGGGATAATCACATTGATACTTACCAAGGAAGTAACTGAAAAATCCTTACAGGACAGATGCAGAAATTTCATGGAAAAAAAAAAAAATCTAACCAACGCTATTAGGCATTTAATCTCTATTTATGAGAGAATAATATGTGAATTTATAATTGCATTGCAAAAGATTTGTAGAGAATTGCCAGCTGACCTAGCTGCAAGAAGGGTTAGACAAAAAAAAGGTGTGTCAAAATTTCTGTCCTTCATGGAATATTTATGGATCGAAGCAGCCCTGTTTTTCCCTTCCAAATGAATACTAGAGTCACCAGGTTTACCCATTAAAACTTCAAGATGCTTGGTTCAATGTGAATTTCAGATTTCAAAAATAACTTTTTAGTATAAGTTTGTCCCAAATATTGCATGGGGCAAACTACTACCACAAAGTTATTATTCTTTTCTGTTTTTCTTTTTTTTCCCCCAAATCTGCTTGCCAGGGAACAAAGTTATTATTTATCTAAAATTCAAATTGAACTGGGTGTCTGGTATTTCACCTAGTAACTCCAGTGGAAACAGAAATTCACTTCAAAATATAATTATCAACAGAATTAAAATATCATCATTTTGCAACCCTTAATCAAATAAAAGATCTAGAATTGTGATTTTTGAAGTGTGGTTTCCTGCGCAGAATCATCACCACCATCTGGGAACTTGTTAAAATGCAAATCCTTAAGACTCATTTCATCCCTACTAAAGCAGAAATATTGGGGTTGGGGTCCCCAAAAGTGTGTTTTAGCACACAGTGTTGTGGTGATTCTAATCAACGAGTTGAGAACCACTTACCTAGGCAATTTTGGTAGGCAGAGTAATCTTCCCCCAAACATATCTATAGTCCCAAAAAGTAAGTTAGTATCATAGGTTACCTGACAAAGAAGAATTAAGGTTGCGGATGGAATTTTGATTGCTAATTTGCTGACCCTAAGACAGGAAGAAAATCCTGTGTGATTCAGGTGGGACCAATGTAATCACAAGGGTCTTTAAAAAGAGCGAGTCGGGAGAAAATGTAACTATGGGAAGAGGGAGTAGAGAAAGGCAACATGACTGGCTTTGGAGATGGAGAAAGCGTCATGAGCCATGGACTGTGGGCAGCCTCTAGAAGCTGGTGAAGGAAATGGATTCTCCCCCAGAGTTTCTGAAAAGAAATGGACCCTGATGACACCTCGATTTTAGTCCAGTGAGACCCTTGTTGAGCATCCCACCTACAGAACTGTAAGGTACACTTTGTTGTTAAAGCTGTCAAGTTTGTGGTCATTTGTTACAGTGGTGACAGAAAACCATTAGAGCAATGGTCATCTATGCCTGCTAAAACCATTAGCTAAAAAGGCAATGCTCTAATACAATAATGTGAATGGGTTGGAAGTTTATGTCAAAACCCTACTGTGTTTATTCATGTGTATTGTTTAAAACTTATTTTATACACATACACAGTTTATGTCTTTTCAACTAACCATTTATTTATAGGTTTCTAATTACAGACTAATAATAGTAACCATCAGCTATATTTAGGAAATCAAGAGGCCCAGATTGCATATTAGCAGTCAACATACTATTGAGCAGAGTGAGAAAGCCACAGGTAAGGAGCACTGTTGAAGACTGTGCTCTAAACAGAGCTTCAACTGTTTGCTTGGAATGATGTCTCACACAAGAAGTGTAATGTACCTATTTTCTCCCTTTTTATTCTGAGCAATGGGAATATCCTTGGTAAATCATTCTGGAGATAGGCCTAGGAATAACTTGAGAAATAAAGGAATACACAGATGTCCAAGAGGCCTCAGCACAGCCACAGAAATAAACTTTTACATCATGACTTTACCACAGACACAGAATGCATCAAATTTTAAGTTTCCCAAGAAAGAGTTCTCATTTTCTTCACATATTCTGTCTGTGCTTAATCCTGTCTGAATTAGCATGAAGGAGAAATATTTACATAAATGCAGCCAGTTACCTAAAATATGGAAAAATCAGGGATTTTCTAGTACTTTTTATTTCTATTGAAAATAACATCTGTGGCCATGTGAAACTTTTGCCGATACTTCTGGCTGGCAAAGAATCTTTAATTTTTATTCATTGAAGTATCACTGTTCTCATAGTATAGACGGTAATATGCTGCTGTTAAAAATGCATAAGATATAGATCAGTACGTCTATATGAATGACATGGACCATCTTCTCAAGAAATGTACCTTTGGAGACTTTCTTATTGGTGTGGTCATACAGGCTGGACATGGCCCTATTCCAGGAAGCTCCATTTACCTAGGCATGTGACAATGGCACTGTCATTGTACCATGTGGCAGCTCTGCTCCCAGGCATATCCCAACAGCTCACTACCCCTGCACTGGGAGCTTACCTCCTCTTTCATAAATTTCTTATCAGGATAATTTTTAGAATCTTACCATCTGACATGAAGAATGATTCACATAAGGATCAAATAGTTCCCTTTAGCTCTGAGATTTTATAGGACTATAATTCTGTTCACTTTTGGAAGACTTTGGAATTTGATAGAAGAATAAAGCTAACCCCACTCATTCTTCAAGGCCCAACTCAAATATCATGTCCTCCCTGACACCACCTCCTCTAACACTGCCTTCTGTAAACTCCTCTAAAAATTATGGTCCCCAGGCTCAGGCAAGGGCAAACTAGGGCTGTCAGGAAAAGGACTGTTGAGAATGAGAAAGATGCCCCAATAAGTTAAATAGAAAGTTATGAAAACCAACAAGGAGTGTGGCCAGCGTTTTAAAGGGCATTCTCCTGGTAAGTACGGTGGTCCCAGCCTTGGGTAGAATGGCCATCACCATGCAGGAAGGTGTGTGGAAGAGGTTATTCTGCTACAGGTTCTAGCTATTATTCCAATGATAGCAGAATCATGGTTGGCGAGGGTAGGCTGAGAACAGCATTGAGCTCCACAGGGACGGGCACTGGTGAGAGAATGCAGATAAGCAGAGTGTGAGACATGGTTAATTGGGCTGGTCTCAGTGACAGTGGAAGTCCCATATGGAAACAAGAGTGTGTGTGTGTGTGTGTGTGTGTGTGTGTGTGTGTGTGTGTGTGTCACAGAGGAGAGAGAGAGAGAGAGAGAGAGGGAGAGAGAGAGAAAGAGAGAGAGAGAGAGAAGGATATGGGGCCTGAGTCAAAAACCCAGTTGTGATGGGGCCCAGTGGCTCATGCCTGTAATCCCAGCACTTTGGGAGGCCGAGGCAGGCAAGATTACCTGAGGTCAGGAGTTTGAAACCAGCCTGGCCAACACAGTGAAACTCTGTCTCTACTAAAAATACAAAAATTAGCAGTGTGTGGTGACTTGTGCCTGCAATCCCAGCTACCGAGGAGGCTGAGACAGGAGAATCGTTTGAATCCAGGATGTGGAAGTTACAGTGAGCCAAGATCATGCCACTGGACTCCAGCCTGGGTGACAGAGTGAGACTCTATCTCAAAACAAAACCAAACAGAAAAACAACAGCAAAAAACCCAGTTGTATGAATTCAGGCAGACAATTCCTGGATGAGCTTTTAAGGACCAGGCAATCTAGACACTGGAATAAAACAATAAAACTAATTTGCATGTGTACTTGCTGATAGACTAGGGGTGCTAATGTCTCCCCTGCTCAGCTGTATCTACCCAGGGCTGAAAGTGTAGCAAGTAAAGAGTGAATAATGAAATAATGAATTATTTATATTGAATAATGAATTATTGAATCCTGACAATTACTCAATAAAATGAGGAAGGCAGGAGTGGATTGTCTAATCATTTTACTTTCTGATCATTCCTTGTGTCTAGCTAGAAAATAATGAAATACTAATAAATATATACACATAGAAAATATAGAATTACATGTGTTTTATATAATAAGCTCATTGCATGCAATACACATAAATATTACCCATAATATAGCTTATGTATATTTAGCACAATTCTATATATTGGGAAGTGCTCAATTACTATCTGTTGAATTGAACTTTGGCATACTGAGATTCAAATCATTATTCTTTCATTTTCCAGCTTCAACTGGATTAATTTGCTAAAAGTAATGAGTCATTTAAGCCCTTGTCTTTACATAATCCTAAGAGCTGGGTAAAGTAAACCAGTTGTTTTTTAGGGCTATTCTCTGTCCTATAGGGCAAGACAGTAGCCACTGTTTAGAGACTATGCCCAGGACATAGCTCATGGTAGGGTCTGATAACTAGGAGTCATTAAAACAACTGTTAGAGATGGGGTGGCGGTGGGGGGAGTTATTCGAAGCAATAGAATGAAATCGTAGAATTCGTAACATCTCCAGGCCCAGTCACTGTTGCAACAGGTGACAAGTTCTCACTCTCTCCTTACGGCAATCATGAGATTCCCTAAAATTCCTTTCTAAAAATCTGAAAGTATTTTCCCTCTTCTGATTCAGCTGTCTTCACACTCTTCCAAACCAGTTACTGATTACACACATAGCATTTCATACATGTATACACATGAACACACACAGTGTAACTTCTAATAGCCTAAAGAAGTATGACTCACAGGTTGGAGTTGGGGAGAAGGAGGCATTTTTTATTTCTCACCTTGAAAAGTAGTGTCTTATTGTGTTGTTATAACAGTCTATCTCTTTTCATAACATATTTGAGATTCATGAGATTTAAAATATCACTAGAGTTTAAGCTTTTATTAAAAAATTGGGAAAACAATTCCCGTAAGATGTGAATCCCTAAATAATTGCTACAAGCTTTGTAACAAGGGGCTATTTACTCCTTGCTTATGTGCATTGGGAGGGTCTTCAAAAAACGGTTAAAACAGAAAAGGACGGCTTGCCGTACTCTAATTATTTAAGTGAAAAGACTTGATCCAGATGACAGACCAACTACCAGACACAGCAGCCAGACGAAGACCCCTTTATGCAGAGCTGCTTTAGTCTCACAAGATAAAGAAAGGAAGGAAATCAGAGAGCTTATTTTAATGATCCTATCCTGTCTTCCATCACAATGTAAACAACCATCCCCCTTTCTGTTCAGATGACATGATTTTCCATAGCCTCATACAGCCACAAATATGAGCCACAGTAAATAGCTGTTGCTGGCAGAAGATAAGGAAGAAAGAAAGTGCCCAAATGGGGTTTATTTATTTTATCTGAGACTGCAACTGTCAGACTGCAAATACCATACACTGTATTCTGGACAGCCTGTCAACTTCAAAGAAGAGGTACATGGAGAAGAGTCTGGAATCTTCTCACCACCATTAAGCAAAGCCCCGCCAAGTTAAGCTGAACTTCTCTAGTGTCTGTGAAATGAAACACACACACTGTAGGTTGCAATTTTGCTGACAGGTAGGTGTTGCTAAGAAGGCCATTGCTTTTTAAGGGGGTCAAGAACTGCCAAGGAAGAAAACTAAGTGCACAGTGGACAAAAGCTGAAGTTTGTGTTAACCTTTGGCCAACGGTATTCCTGGTCTTTTGGCATTACCCATTCCAGTATATTTTAAGAAAGAGGACTGTGTTTTCTGACTGTAAATATGAGTGCAGCAGGTTGAACCAGGATACACCAAATATTTTTCTAACTGAGGGAGACCAATGTAGAATTTAGATGCCAACAAGATGACTCAACAGCCATTTGTCTCATATTTACTCATTTAAGGCTGATGGGAGTGGAAAGAAACAGCTGCTGTGAGCTATTTCTATTGGGAGGCAATAAGATACAGCATACCATAGGAGATTATTTTAAACCCAAGGTATATTATTGACGCAGGTCTTTTATAGAAACGTCATATTGTGTCAGCTTCTTTGTCAATAATGTAGACGCACAAAGAGGTTTAAACTGGATCTCCTTGGTGAAGTATTTGTTTGTTTGTTTGTTTGCTTGCTTGCTTGTTTTTTGTCAGCACACTTTACCACTCAACCATAAAGTATTTGTGTGATAAAACAGAAGAGTTTGGCCGGGCATGGTGGCTCACACCTATAATCTCAGCACTTTGGGAGGCCAAGGCAGGCAGATCACCTGAGGTCAGGAGCTCGAGACCAGACTGACCAACATAGTGAAACTCCATCTCTACTAAAAATACAAAAATTAGCCGGGCATGGTGGTCTGCGCCTGTAAGTCCCAGCTACTCGGGAGGCTGAGGCAGGAGAGTCACTTGAACCTGGGAGGCAGAGGTTGCAGTGAGCCGAGATCATGCCACTGTACTCCAGCCTGGCAAAAAAAATTACATATTTATATACANAAAAAAAAAAAAAAAAAAAAAAAAAAAAAAAAAAAAAAAAAAAGCAGTATGGAGGTTTCTAAATAAATTAGAAATAGAACACACATAAACACACACACACATATGCTCGATAGAATATCATTCAGCCCTGAAAAATAATGAGAACTCACCATTTGCCACAATGTACATGAATCTGGAGGACATTATAAGCCAGACACAGAAAGAAAAATATTGCATGATCTTACTTATATGTAGAATATTTTTTAAAATTAAATATGCAGAGAGAACAAAATAGTGACAGGCTTAGAGAAAGGGAGCGGAGAGGAAATGGGGTCAGAGGATAAAAGTCGCAAATATTTAGGATAAACAAACCTAGAAATCTAATGTACAACGTGAGACTATAGGTAATAAAGTTGTAGTATGTATGGAATTCATGCTAAATAAGTAAATTTTAGCTGCTCTTGTCACAAAAACAACAAAAAATGGATAACTGTGTTATTATGGCTACAATGATTTGCTTTCCTAAAGTAACTTTTTTTACTATCTATATGTGTTCCATAATATCATGTTGTATATCTTAACTACAAACAAGAAAACTTGCTTTTAAAATAAGAGGCTTGGGGTCTGGATTTATAGTCTGGTTTTCCCCTTGTATTCCTCATCATTATGATGAGTCGTTTTTAATAACTGTATTAGTCTGTTCTCACACTGCTAATAAAACATACCCAAAACTCAGTAATTTACAAAGGAAAGAGGTTTAGTTGACTCACAGTTC